ATATCTTACACATGGCAAAGTATCTTAAAGGGTGTGCAGCTTCTGAAAGAAGGCCTGATTTATAGAATTTGTGATGGAACGGCAGTGAGTATATGGACCGACCCATGGTTGAACCGAGAGGGATCGAGGACACCCATAACAAGGAGGGGAAGATGCCTCTTAACAAGGGTTTGTGAGATCATAGACCCAGAAACATGAGGATGGGACGAACTACTAGTGAGAAGCATATTTGTGGAACAGGTTATCAAGGTGATTCTGACTACACACATCAACGATGAATACAGTGATTTCCATGCGTGGTTCTATGACAGTAAAGGCCAATTTTCAGTGAAATCTGCATGTAAACTATATGTCCGGTGCCGGGATGCAAGCTTACCATCATCTTCAGGTTTTAATGCAGATGAGTTCCCATGGAAAAAGATTTGGGAAATTCCCTGTCAACCGAAAATCCAACAATTTCTTTGGAAACTGGCTCACAATAGCTTGCCACTAAAGTTGACTCTGAAACCGAGAGGAATCAATCGTGAGACTGCATGTGTCTGCTGCAGCCGACTAGATGAGGACCGCGCACACATGTTTGTGAATTGTAAAGAAGCTAAGAAGCTTTGGCGATGTCTTCAGTTGGAAGGGCTACATGAGCATCTTGCTGAATGCAGGGATTCAAAGGAATTTTTAGGGGAAATCAGAGCTCTGCCAGAGGAGAAGCAAGTACTGGTGACTTGTATGTTATGGCGTTGGTGGGATCACAGGAATACAACTGGTAAAGGGAACAAAACGCGCCCGGTGGAGGAACTAGAATTAAATATCAAGCGTTGTGCATTGGAATCACCGCAGTTCCGTCGTACCAAGAAGAGCCCGCATACTGTGCAGAGACAACATGATTGGTCAAGGCCAATGGGGGAGACACTCAAGGTCGATGTAGATGGGGCATTCAAAGAAATATACTTATAACACAACACGTGTGACTAGGGTTTTGCAGTTCGAGATGAACAGGGCTATGTCAGAGGCTCGGTGAAGGCAGATTACCGAATATGGGAAGTGCAATCCAAGCGGAAGTGACTGCTAGTCTGGAGGCTATGCACGCTGCTGCAACTTGGGGTATAATGAAAATCCAGGTGGAGTATGACTGCCAGAATCTGGTCAGTACGCTCCAGTCTACTGAGTATGACCTAATCCCGGAAGGAACTTTATTAAAAGAAATCAGATTGTTTGCTAGTGGAAATTTCATCTCTTGTTGTTTCTCGTTTGCTCCCCGTGAATGTAATAAGTTAGCTCATTCCCTAGCTACTATGGGTTCTAAACGGCCAGTTGTGAGACAACTATGAGCCGAGGGGTTACCGAACGATTTAAATGTTTTGAGCATCTCCGGCCGCGCCCCAACAGGCCCTTCCAGGCGTTTTTTTGGTGACGGCGGTCGAAAATCGGCCAGTCGCGCCCACAGGAGCCCGTTTTTCGTCGGTTTGGGCCGAAACTGGCACCGGTGGACCCAGACCAAACCCGGCGCGCTGGGGACGCCTGGGGGTGCCAGGGGACGAGCTTTTGGCACGAACGGGGATGGGCCGTCGAGTCAGCGAGACGCCGCTTCGTCGTCCTCATCGCCTCGGTTCCCGCGGGAATCAATGCCAAGGCTGTCGCGCTGCTGCCGGTCAGCCTCCATTGATGCCTCACGGGCGGCGCAGCGAAGGCGCCACCGATGCGCGTCCCGTCCGCTCCCGCCATGCATCGCCCGGCATGCAAGCTCTCGCCGCCCCGCTGCGGCTATAAAACCCGACCTTCCCGCCGGGCAGCCACACATCGCGTCGCATCGCCACACAAAGCAACACACTCCCCCCTTCCCGCCGACGAGCAATGGCTGAGAGGTACCCAAGCGACGGCGCGGCGGCGAACGGCTTCGGCCGCCGCCATCTCCAAGAGTCGGAGGAGCGCCTCCTCTACGAGGCCGAATATCCGGCGCCCCCGGACATGCGTGTGCCGGGGTCATGGATGTTGAGCGCCGACGGCGTCCCGGTGCCACCGGTGCCCAAAGGGGCTGCACGGCGGGCCGAGATTGCCCGCATCCGCTCGTCGCTGACGGAGGCGCAGCGGAACGAGCCAAGGTACGCAGTCGACAGCCACACGCTGTGGACGATGTACTTCGAGCACCGCCGCGAAGACCAGATCGCCTCCGCCAACGACATCATCCCCCGCGGATGCCACAACACCGACGGGCGACACGAGTGGTGGGACGTGCCTGGCCGCACCCTCGAGGCCGTCCTCGACCACATCGAGGCCGGCAACACGCCGCGCCTTGAGTACCCGCCGCAGCCGTCCTTCTCTCGCCGTCGTGGCAACTCCTGGACGCCGCGGCGAATGGAGCCAGGGGCGTCCTCCTCGTCGGGCTCCGGCTCGCCGACGCTCCGCCCCGTCAAGTCGGAGCCGGAAGAAATGCCGCTTCGACGCCACACCCGCAGCGGCGCCCTCGTCATCAATGAGGATGCCAGCCTCTCCCCGCGCTCCCTCCGCCTGGTCCGACCGAAGCCCGAACCGGGGCTGCTCCCCGTGAAGCCGGAGCACGCGGACATGGTGGCCCCTGACGACGCGATCGCCCTCAAGTGGGCGAGGGAGGACTACGTCCGCGAGCAGGTGCTCCGCCAGCGCCGGGCGTACGCGGAGCTCCAGGCCCGGCGCAGCGGACGCAAGGAGGGTGGCGTCATTGTCCTCGATAGCGACGAGGAGGACGAGGCCGGCCCGTCCAACCCCCCACCACGCGTCGGCGACCCTGGCCAGGGATGCAGTAGTGACGGTGGCAGCTCCGGTGCGGCGCGCGACAACGACGACGATGACAGCGGCGGCGACTACACCCGTTTATACAGGCTTCTCGGCATGTAGATGGCGGGCGGTGGCCGCGGCGTAGTAGGGATAGGCGTAGTTTGGCGTAGTTGTAGGCGTAGTTTGCATGTCATCTGTTTTTGTATAAATTTCAATGAAGTATCGCCGAGTTTGTGCCAGATCGTCGAGTTTGTACAAATTTGGATGAAATATTGCCGAGTTCACGCGATTTTGACGGCGACCTAGGGGCGTCGACTGGGAACGCACTCGCCCCCACACGCTAAGGAAGTGCCAGTTCGGCCTCAGGCGGCTCTTTTTCGATGTCCTGGAAGGCCGAACGGTTGAAGATGCTCTTATGAGGGCCAGCCATATTGCTTGGCCGGTGTGATGCATGGAGTCATTGTGTTCCATTTAAAAAAAGGATCAGTTACATCTAAAAAGCAATTATTCTATGAACAACATATTTCATTATTGATCTGGGGCAAAAAAAAAAACAAATGCAATTGAGAATGTAGGTAACTATTTGAAAGATGTTTCTTATAATTGTCTGCAAGTAATTATGTCCGTATTGCATTTATATTTTCCTAGTCTTTACTAACGACAGACGGTGATGATCGATGCCCTTGTCTTTCTTTGGCAATACATAAGCCGTTTGCTTGAGCAGGTGAATGGAGACATTGCTCGGAGTGCCAGACTGTGTTGCGCTTCTCAAGCTGTGCCATCTGCTGCCCTCTCCGGATCCGCCATCAAACCCACAATCTCCTGGTCCGAGGTTGCGCCCCCTCCTTCCCGGGAATCCATGAGTGGATCTCACAAGAGTCGAAGGTTCAACCACCGAACCTCTAGATCTCACGAGCGATGTTCCTAGCGCCAGACCAATCCCCATCCCCTATAGCGGGTATCGAACCAGGAGGGGCAGTGGACGGTCTCCACAAGGACGAATAGCCGAGGGCCTCGCCGGAGTGGATGTGGTTGTGGGCATCAAATCGTTGGTGCGGTGGTGTTTGTGGTGGTGCGAGCTCTGCCGCGAGAGCGGACATGGGCTGCGTTGGTTTACACAAATCCAGGATTAATCCAGTGCTACTACATTTCTATAGTAGTTTCCAATTTAGTGTTCTATGGATGGTTAGATCCAAGGAATTCAAGGTACAAATATTCAACACGCTTATGCAGTAAAGCCGAATTCTGGCTCAGGTGCTCATCAAACATAATATCCAGCGAGTTCTGGTAGACGGGACAAATATGGTAGACACGAAAATCTGAACTTTTGAAAGTTGAATCTTCCAAAAAAAAATAGAATTTTGAAAGTTGAATTTTTCTTTGAAAATTTGAAATCCTGAAAGTTTAGAATTCTAAAAGACGAAAGTTACCAAAAATGAAAATTTGGATTTGTGAAAGTTGGAGGGCTGGACTTTAAAACATGATGGCATGATGGCCCAAAAAATGGAGGTTTATTGAAATGCTAGAGCATGTGCGGACAAAGGTTTGTGGCGATGTTGGAATCTAACCGCTCAGTGCTTGCCCAGAGGGTGACCGCCATGTAGCCTCCCTCGAATTAGTGTATCTGAAATACCTCTATGCCCAGAAAACGTTCTAAGTCTGATAACTCAAAAACATGTCTATCCGTCGGGAAAAAAACCCTCAAAAACATGTCTAGCAGTATTGCCAAAAATGATGTTCATGCATATATTTACAATGTTCCTCTAGTTTAGGTACACTATGTTAGAAGTGTAATTATGTTAAGTTAGAGATTAGGAGTTAGAGATAGGATAGGTTAAACCATGTATGACTTGTCCTCTACTCCAAGTCTCTCTCCCTCATATGGTACTCTATATATACCCCTACGAGGGTCAGATCAATAACCACAGAAATATTCAGTCATCTATAATTTCGACAAAAATTGTAGGATGGTTGAATATGGTGTTGTATGTTGTATTGATCTGACCCTAATAGGGGTATATATACAGTACATCATGAGGGTAGAGACCTGGAGTACAAGACAAGACATAATATATTTAAACTAATTTTATCTTCATCTCTCCTTATCTCTAACTACACGTATGTATTTCTAACACACTATTTAAGTACCTGATCACAACATGTCTTTAGATTTGACATTTCTTTCACACAATGGGACCTGCCTCCACCATCTATTGTACAAATTTATAAGCGCATCTAGTTGATGATTACCTCTACAATAGAGCCCCTGTAATAAACCTATGGTTCAGTACAGCCTCAGCAATTGGTCGTTTACGGTAATCCGGATTAAGCATTGCCTACAGAAAAGAAATCAGTGTAAGACCCTTTATTAAAGATGAAGGAATCGAATGTAGATTCACTGAGTCCACAGTTAATATAGTAAGCATACACAAGTATCATCTGCAGCAGCAGAAGGTTTGTGAACAGACAAAATTTAACTACAATCGTAGAGGCAAACCTGCAGCAACTCCCAGCCGGCACCATCACCTAAATCTAGAAAGTTTACAGCTTCCGACAATTTATCATCTTCCAGGCAATACCTATTTGAGTCCATAAACATAGATAAGCATGCATATTGATTCTGAATATAACAAATCACAACTAACAATCAGGTAGAAAATAAGGGAGAGCAGATTTTATCAAATGAACTTGGAAAGCAGAATTATTCAAACATTGGAATGTTTAAACTTTAAACCATGTAGATGTTTTGTTCTAGCGATTCATACTCTCTTGCAGCATAAATGTCGAGACGGAAAGTGTTCTCCAAGAGCCTCTACAGAATAAATAAGTACTTTGTTAGATATCACCGTGTATAAAAGAAAATAACATTTGTCCTATGAACTTTTCTTTGCGGTAATTTCTATTATGAACTTAAATCTAAGTTATAATCAAGAACCTGCAAGGAAATGCTATCCATGATGCCTGCTTCGCAAAACGGAATAAATGCCATGTATGCAATAAGCAACCCAGCTCCATATCTGTTTTTTTCCAATCACAGGTATATGTGAGAGACTTGAATTTTGTCAATCAAAAGTAAAAAAGAAATACTTGCATGTCATCAGCTACTCCAAAAGCTCGCTTCTCCAAAGGAGTTGATGCTCCAGCAGCAGATGCTCGACGCCAAAGACCATCTGACAACGCTCCAACCCCAACAGAGGAATACCTGTCATTATAAAAGTATATCTATTCTCTAAAGCGTTTTATCATTGGTAAAAGAAAATGCAGAGAGGATGGAGATATACCCGATATCTACAGAAAATGCCAAATCACGGAGCTGTGGAAGTAAATAGTATCCATTTTTCTCTGCAACAGTGCTAAATAAGAGAAAGTTACACTAAGTAGTAACAGAACCGAGAATGAGTCATAAGCTGTAGAATGGGAAGTAAAACAAGGAAGATGCAGAATACTTGAGAACAACAGAAGAGGGGCCAAGGCTTTGGTGCAGTCTATCATGATTGTGCATGTGGACAAGGCCACACATAGCTCCATTAAGCAGCCTAAGGACAAAATATTTCCTCAGTTCCAATTTGTATGCACGATCATAGGGATTCCAAAAATTAGGCCGTTCCTTCAACTGCCTTTCACTGGTTATTTTTGCATAGTCTGCAGCACTGTATCTCCCATCATCACGGAAAGCAAGCCACTGTAGAAAAATTACATCAGTCTAAAAGCATTAGAGGATCGTCTATGACCTGATAAAGTTATGTGGTAGACCTGCTCTCCAGTAGCTGTCTCAAATGCTCCTAACAGAAACTGAATGTTCTCACAGATATCCCTTGCATCACTCTGAAAGTAGAAAGCAAGGAATAGAAATTATTTTTTGGAAATGTCATGTCTGACATACTCATTCAGATCGGCAAGTTCAACCTCTGTTAATTTTCCACGATTTTCCTAACCTGAAGAAAAGCATGAGTCCTCAGCTCATTCAGTGCCATCAAATTAGCTTCAGAAGCACCAGCAATAGCTCCAGGGTATACCTTGTAACATAAACCTATGTCTTAGCACATATAAGATCGTAAATGAACTCATATGTCTGGGAAAGCTAATTACTAACACCATCAGATAAACCAACAAAATTGAATGGCTGGAAAATCGAAGTGAAAAAAGAAGAAAAACTTGGAACTATTGGCCCTGCCCCTACCACAAATAATCTTCACAAGGCACTGTTGAATCAAAGGGTGCTATCAGCCTACGATTACATAAGACTGGCCTTACTAGTATTATGTGTCATGTGATACAATTGAAACACTATGAGCATGTACATTTTAAAATGCATGGATGACCCATATCACACTTATTAGCATTACAGGACCGTGTGTAACTATACATGGTAGATTGAAAATCCGAGCTATACCTTAAATACAGTTTGTGTGCCCTTCAATGGACCTTGCACCACTCTTCCCTCGTAAAGTCTGCAATAGACTATGATACATGGATAGTATCAGTAGACCTTTTCTAAAAAGTTACACATCGAAACAACATCTTAGATAGAAGGAAATAACCTAATTTTCACTTGTCCCTCTCCAACATCTTGGACTCTTAATCGCTCAATCTCTTCCGGTGAATATCCAAGACTAAGGTCTTGATTAACAGCATCGTTTGGAAGCCCTCCAGACTGAGAAGATGAATAGCTGTTTCACATGACAGAGTGTTGGAAGTCATGGTGGTTACATAAATAGAAATATATGTCCTTACGTTTACCACTCAAAAATCCGATGGTCCTTTTAACAACTCGATATATAAGAGTAAAATTAGACGCAGCATCCATGGCCCCATAACATAATACTGGTACAAAGTTCTGTGGAAATTTTCTTGTAAGAAATCAGCAACATCGACATCAGAATAGGCATATTGAACCTCCTTGTCATTTACTGTAGCTCTGATGGATGCATTACATATTTCCTAAAATTGAACCACGTGATGTTCCTACTTGTTACAAGATACTGCTGGTCATCTCTGGTGAACTTATCTGAAGTGTCCTAAGCTAACTAAGTAAAGGGAAATGTCAAAACCAGACAGTATCCTGAATAATTTCAACATATTCTGTCAATTTCAACATATTCTGTCAATCTCACCACAGTATCCTGAATAATTTCACCCCAAGAAAAACACACACAGACTTGCCATTTCCAGTGATTTCTGCTGGAAACAACTAATTAAAATAACCTAAGCAACATGCTAGTGAACGGTACGAATGCTCGAACCAATTCCACCCCCGCACACAGCCCTACCGTCCTAAGTTTTGAATCAACTCAGAACGTAAGCACACATCTCCCCGTGGGTACTACAAACTCTTACTGTAGTTCTGAAGGAAAACGGAAAGGGGAGAGGACCCAAACATGCTGACCTTGTGATGTTCATGAAGCCATAGTTACCCAACAATCTGCCGACCTCGAAGTACGCGGGGTTGGTCATCAGCGCCGCCGAAATCGGCCGTAGAGATCGTGGGCGAGGCCTCCGGCGCCGCCCCCCGGGCTCCGGTGAGACGAGGAAGCGCGCGGGAAGAGCCTTCAGCATCGTGGTCGCCACTGCGCTGCGCACAAGCCTGAAACTGACTGGTGTTTCTGTTCTGGGGATAGACAGCTCAAGCCTCCCAGCCGCAGAAACGAAAAAGCTACTATTTTTTTGAGAAACAAACGAAAAAGCTACTGGGAGGATGTATCGCTGATAATGGGCCGCGAGGATCGCCTGTCGCACCATTATCGGCCCATCAGCAGTTTCTTTGCCCTTTTTATTTTGTTTGTTTTTCTCCAAAAAAAATATTGTGTGTAAATTTTCGATTTTCTGGTTTTATATTTTTATTTATTGTATTTTTATTTATCTTAGTATCTTTATTTCATTTCCTTTTCATTATTACTTTTCTCTTTTTAGTTTTATGTTAAATTTATTTTCTGATTTCTTTTTTTCTTTTGCCACACATTCATGCACTTTTTTCAGACACATTTTTCTTCAAAGTCATGAACATCTATTTGAAAATACATGAAAATTTGTTCTGAAAATATACAAACATTCTATTCTAGGAATGGTTAATTTTATCTGGGCCAAGTCCTACATAACATTTATGTGGCAAATCGTCAACGTCGTGTCAATACAAATCTAAGCAACTGATCACGGCCAACAAAGATGGGAGACAAGATTATATGAAAAAAAAATTATTTAAATTTGATCAACGAATATTTTTGAATAGAAAGTCAATGTAAGGATAAAGACTCTGAGGGAAAGAAGTTGTCAATCGGATG